GGGGGGGGGGTGGAAGAGGTTCACGTACAGGCAGAAGGCTCATCGATGAGGTAGATATCAGCAGGAATACCGAGAGCAAGAACGATGGCAACTCTTTGAAGTTCACCACCGGACAGATGCTTGACTTCCTGGTCAATGAAATCATCAAGCTTCAGAGGCTTAACGACATCAGTCTGGAACTGAGGAGACAAGAAAGCAGCCTTGATCTTCTTGAAGAACAGCTGGCGAACGGTACCCTCGAACTTGGGAGTGATGGTCTGGGGCTTCATGGAGATCTTCATCTCAGGAACCCTCTTGGTGCCGTCAGGCTTAAGAACACCGGCCAAGAGACGGCAGAAGGTGGTCTTTCCAGTACCGTTCTCACCCATCATGACGATAATCTCGGAATCAGAGAAAGAACCGGCGTCGATGGACAGGTGGAAGTTGCCCATGGTCTTCTCCATGGCAGGGTACTTGAAGGCGCGCGACTTTTCCTGAATGAACTCCTCAGTGCCTTCGGCAATGCGGAAGGTCAAGCTCTCGTCACGGAAACGCAAGTTCTCAGTAGGGATGTGGCCATCGAGGAAAATGTTGATGCCTTCACGGACGGAGTGAGGGAGGGTGACGACACCGTAGACGGCGGGCTGACCGTAAAGACAGCAGACGTAATCGGAGAGGTAGTCGAGGACAGACAAGTCGTGCTCGACGACAATGACGTAGTCGTCAGGGCGGAGGAGAGAGCGAATGATGCGGGCAGCACTCAATCTTTGTTTGACATCGAGATACGAGGAAGGCTCGTCGAACATGTAGACATCGGCCTTCTGAACGCAAACGGTACCGATGGCGAAACGCTGGAGCTCACCACCGGAAAGGAGGGTAACATCACGGTCGTAGATATGGCGCAACTCTATTCAAGATCAGCCAGGGCGTCCAAATAAGCAAATCACTAAGCGCAAAGCATGTTGAGCCTACCAAGGGTGTCGAGAACCTCGTCAAGGTTATCGAGAGAACGGCGGCCCTCAATCAGGAACTTCACGCTCTTGTCGGGGGTGCGGATGGCCTTGGGGATCTGATCGACGTACTGGGGCTTGACAACAGCCTTCAGGTCATCCTCGAGCAGCTTGGTGAAGTAGTCTGCGATTTGTCAATCCTCTGATCTCCTTCCAAGGTAAGCCGTATTCCTTACTCTGCAACTCAGAACCGCGGAAGTACTTGATGACGTCCTCCCAGTCAGGTGGGTTGTCGTACCTGCCCAGGTTGGGCTTAAGCTTTCCGGAGAGGATCTTGAGCGCGGTACTCTTGCCGATACCGTTCGTTCCGACAAGACCCAAGACGTTGCCGGGGCGGGGCATGGGAAGACGGTGGAGCTTGAAGCTGTTGGCGGCATAGCGATGGGTGATCTGGCTCTCGAGGTTGGTGGGCAGGTTGATAATGGTGATGGCGCCGAAGGGGCAGCGCTTGGGGCAGATACCACAACCAATGCACAGCTGTTCGGAGATGAAGGCAATGCGCGACTCGGGAGACACCTAGATATCGGATGTCAGGAGGATGTTGTCGCGCAAAACACGGGGATCGCAAGGGGTCCGGAGAGATATTACCTCGATCTGTTAGAGAGCAGTTAGCTGTTTGGTCCTGTTACCGCAAGAGGACTATGGAGAAGAGGGAAGCTTACACAGAGTTTACCGGAGCGCACAACGGGGCATGACTTCTTGCATTCCTGGCGACACTTCTTGGGCTTGCACTTGTCGCTACTGACGATAGCGATACTACAGATACGAAACAGGCGAGGTCAGCAAGGTGGAAGCCAGACAGCGCATACAGCCAGACCAGCACAAGCCAGTCTGGGCCGATGCTTCTATAAGCAGAGCACACGTGCGTGTGCGGCCTTGGGATCGTAAACGCACCGAGTGAGTTTGTCCGACATCTTGTCTGTGATTTCGCTCTGCGGACTGATCGAGATGGGTGACTGTGGGCGGACCGCTATCCTAGGCGCAAAGCGGGAAATGGGGGAGGGGGAGAAATTCTCAAGGTGCCGCACGTCTCGGAATGCTACGAGCAGAGTGGAGAGGGCCAAACAAGGCGGAGGAGGCTGACACTCTTTAAGTTTCTCCAGAGGCAACGTGGGTCGACGCCGGGTTGTGGACAATGTCAGTTCCCTCGTCTCAAAAAATGTCGAGACCGCTGCACCGTGCGCCGAGTCTGGTGGCAGGGCGGATCGTAAAAAAAAAAGACCCCGCTTGCCCTGATGTGAAGTAAGGTAGGTCGTCGGGCTTCCTACTTAGGTACCTCTAGCCCCGCAACGCTATGTACCAACATGGTAGCAGGGTTGGAGCTACATAAGAGGTGTAAGCTGAAATGTGCCACGGTTGATAGGTTACCTCTTAAAGGTACCAACTTTACCTAGGTGCCTAATGCCAGGTGAAAGTCCACTGTTCCTGTCCCGCTGTCATTGCTTCCCTTGCCTTGCCCCGTGTGCACTTTTTGTATGTAACGACCGTCCATATGAGTACCTAAATTCCACCTCCCCAGTCGGGCAACTCTCAGTCCACACCATGATTTCTGTCTCAGGACTCTAAAACATGACAGGAGCTTCTATCCTATTATTGCTGTTGCACCAAATATCTAGCTGATGTTCACGCAGGTGGTCGTCCACATTGGGTTCCACTTTTACTATTGTTCCTCTGTCCTTTGTTCTGTTTTCGCTTCTCATTGATCTCCCCTTCATTTCAGTACAACCGACTTCTGCCCAAAAATTCTTACAGTGACCCAAGTGGCATCGTGGAGAGCTGAATAATCATGGGCGTGTACTTAATGTCCTGCTGAGGTCAGTTTGTGCTCATTATCAGCCAAAACAGATCCGATTTCTACTGAACACAGCCTTACATCGCCTATTTTCCCGAATACATGGTCATCGCTTCCATTGGACGACTATAATGCGGATGATGATGACTAGACAGTTTCATTGGTATTGCCACTTTCTTTGTCCAGGCGATGATAGTTTCCTCCGTGGGTGAACACATCCGACCCATCCTTTCACAAGTGAGCGTTTATGTCTAGTACCCCCTCGGCTAAAGATAATTCGTCAATGGCGGCGTATTGTTTGTTTGGAGGGGAGTATGGCCGACGACATCAAGCTTGATCATGACGCTCGGTATGAGGAGGTGCATAGCTAGTTAGGGTTGACAACTAAAAGCGCTCGGACTCCTCCCACAACCGTATCGTTTAAAGAATTCACTCGCAGCATGACGGATGCCGTCAACGATCACGATGCAGAGAGGCGCAGGGTTACTGACATCAAACCGGACTTCCGAACAGAGCTCTGGCTGCCTGTCGACATATATTCCCTGCGCCCCGGCCGGGCGCTGACTCACAATCAAGCTACTCTGATAGTAGTCTATCCCACATGGTGTTGTTCACAGGCAGAAATGACATCGGCATCAAGACATTGAAGATAGTTGACAGTGGTCAATGTTGGCACTCAAGGAAGGCTGATGGCCCCAGCAGCACGTGATCGTGTGGGTCCATCGTCCTGGACGGATCTGCTCCAGCTGCGTCTGGGGAGCGGTGCCTCTACCCACTTGGACATACAATGTCTGTCCTCATAATCTGAAGGGAGTTTAGGACTGGTCAGATAGGCATCAGACGGGAATAAAGTCTTTGATTAGGTATATCTGGTTCTCTCTGACACTTTGTGGAATGGATTAAATACGTAGAGGTGGCTCCGCACAATCACCTACAAGACATTGTCGGCCTGACTGCCCGCTTGGGCTTGCTTGCGTCGGCTCGCAGTAGGTTTTCTTCGGAGCCGGAGCTCCAGTGGTGGGAAATCATCCAAATCACCTTGGTGCCGGTGCTCGCGGTGTAACAAGCTGAAGTAAAGCACCAGGCGGGAGAGACCAGTGCATGGCTGGCACCTGCACCGGAGCTGACAAAGAATACCCCTTCGACGCCAACATGCCTACCTAGAAAAACCGGGCGACGTCCACGTACTGGGAGTATTCTCAGCTTGTAGTCCATCTTCCATCTTTCCCACCTTGTTGATTCCCAAGTCGCACCGGTACACAGTCTATGTGCCATCAACCGACGACAACACTTCTCTGAATCATTTGTTGTTATATCAACCACGTTCCATCCTTGAACTTCTTCCAGTGTTGTATAACCTGGTAGCTGAACAGTCATAACCATACATACCACTACCTCCAAGCAATTGAATCGGGAATCGCCCACACTCACCTGCCTCACACCGCCCACGCCGTTTGGAAGGGCACGATCGGAGTGGGCAACCAACGAGCTGGCAAGCTCCAGCGATGATATCCGACCAGGCTCGAGCCGCGTTGGGTTTGTGTCCTCTTATTCGTCCTTTCCAAACCCAAACTTACAAGAAACATTGATCTTACAGATCTTCGTCACACAACTGAAATTCGTGCGTTGTGAGCAAAACGGGCAAGGATCGTGACAGCGCCCATCTCACTGGATTAGGCAAGTGTACTTCCTCCTGGCGCTACCATCCAGTGAAAGAGAACATCATTGAAGTGGTCAGATCACAAGACGCGCGTTACATTTCGGTTTCGGTAATTACGGAGCTGAAACCTTGCAGTCTGGGTATCGACTCTGGCGGTCCCACACTTGAGTTCGGAGGTTGCTTCCAATGAAACTGACCAATCAGAGAGCGGGACTGAGCAAGCATTGAGTTGAGGGCAAGCGGGCCTCGTCTGAAGCACAAGCCAGGCAGTGGCCCACTGGCGTTGCTGGTTCTGGTTCACCATTTTCATGGATTCTTCTCCTCCGTCCATCACTGCGATTTTCCGCTACACCATCACCACTGCCAGCCCCCTCCCAGGGTCTCCGGCCTTGACCATTTCCCCCACCACCACTCCTCCCACGGCACCGCGATTGTGAATCTCGGACTTGAAGATTCACTCTGCAGTCTGCTGCCTGGAGGCTCTTAATTCTTCCATGACTTGTGAGTCCAGCCACTGCCGCCCACTGCCCACTGCCCACTGCCCACTGCGTGCCCTGCCCTGCGTATTCGCCTTGCATTTTCCCCATCATTTCGCCCATCGAAGCGGGCCTCGTCGCCCTTGATATCCATCGTCTACCAGCTTGTAGAGGTCGCCAGACCGTCGATTCTTGATGAATATCGCCTCTACAGCTGCCCTAGACCATGGTCTGCTCTCCCGTGCCCTCAGGGCGCCCACACGCGACTGCAATCGCCGTCGCCGTCCGCCTCATCATCCACAGCCTTGCCTCCATCACTTACACGCGAGCCAATGCGACAATCATCATTGAGACTCGTCCGCTACCCCGATGCCGGATTTCTCTGATGATTCCGGGTCGCAAGAGTGGCCTCTTTCCATCGCCCCAAGTAGTGATTCGTAAATGACGCGTACCGCTGGCTGACATCGTCGTCTTACAGCAGGCAGCCTCCGCGTCTAAGTCTCAAAATGTCGACATCTCCCGAATCCGGTCCGGTGTTCGGGCATGTGTCACCGCCGGCGGATGACAGCCACTTCAACTTTACCAACGATACCGAAAGCACGAGCGACCTTTCCGACGTTAATGCCGCCGAGGCCGACCCGAATGACGACGCCGACGCCCAGTCGTATCAGCCTGCCGACGAGGCTGTCTCGCCGATACAAAAACCCGAGTTGACGCTCGAGGAAGCGTCCGATTCAGCAAGTGATAACGACGCGTCAGATGACGGAGACTTTGACGCCCCCGATAGCCCCAGGTCCGCTCAGAGCAACGAAGTCGTGTCTGCCTCGTCGTCCCGTACCGTCGTGAAGCGCAAAGTCGCCCACGCGACCGAGGATGATTACATCAGAGAGAATCCTGCCCTGTATGGGTTGAGGAGGAGTGTACGAATATCCCGCATTCTTGTTGTGTTATACCATGCTAACGACCTACAACAGTCACGCCCTACACAACGCCGTGCGCAGATCGTAAGTGGATCCAGATGAGCTCTCGTCGTTACGCCTCTCCTAACTGAGTAAACAGATCGACTCAGATGAGGAAGATGAACCATCCGAATCGGATGCCACACCGGTGTCTAGAAAGCCTGCGAAGAGACGTCGGGTTGAACGCTCGTTGCCTGGTAAGTTTTCACCCGTCATACTCCTCGGCATTTTGTTTCACTGCTGACTTGTCGTGATTTCCAGCTTCCAAGCGTGGCACTCCTGCTCGCCAACCCTCAATCGATGATTCCGACTCGGACACATATGGAGGCGCCAAAGCCCGCAGCTTCCAAAGAAAGGTCCGCAGGCAACAAGAACAGGACCCTGCCTTGGCTTTTAGCGAAAAGAGATGGTCTAGCCGTCGGGCGGCCCAGGTCTCAGCCGGCGCCTACCAAGAAAGTGACGCAGAAGAAGATGAAGAGGACGACTCCGAGCTTACCCCCAACTACTGGTCTGCCAATGTCGAGGATAACTCGCCATACATCGAGAAAATCCTCGGTCATCGTCCTAAGGAGGGTGTCGAGGTCACAGTGGATTCTACGCGACACGACTTTGAATACTTCATCAAGTGGCAGGGACAATCATATCCCCACAACACCTGGGAAACTACGGAAACTGTCGCAGGCTTCCGAGGCTTTCGCCGCCTCGAAAACTATTACAAGAAGGTTGTTGAGTACGAACTGGAGATGCAATTCGGTGGCGACGATATCAGTCCGGAGCAGAAAGAGCAGTGGTACCTGGATAGAGAACGTGAGCAAGAGGCCCTCGAAGACTACACAAAGGTCGAGCGCGTTGTGGCTGTCAGAGACGGTGATGAGGGCACCGAGTATTACATCAAGTGGAAGGGCCTGCAATACGACGAGTGCACCTGGGAAGCCGAGTCTCTCGTGGCCGAACTTGCTCAGGACAAGATTGACCAGTTCCTCGACCGATGCAACCGGTCATGGCAGTCCGACCGCAAGCAAACTAACCCCGATACCCGGTCGAGGATGACCAAATTGGAGAAGCAGCCTGACTATATCAAGGGCGGCGAGCTTCGCGAGTTCCAAATGAAAGGCCTTAACTTCCTTGCTCTCAACTGGGTAAGGGGCAACAACGTCATCTTAGCCGATGAAATGGGTCTGGGAAAGACTGTCCAAAGCGTCTCGTTCCTCAGCTGGTTACGGAATGAACGCGGCCAGGAAGGACCGTTCCTTGTCGTCGCTCCTCTTAGCGTCATCCCCGCTTGGTGCGATACCTTTAATCATTGGGCTCCGGATCTCAATTACGTCGTTTACCTGGGCCCGGAGGCAGCTCGGTCCAATATCCGAGGTTACGAACTTTTTGTGGATGGTAACCCGAAGAAGACCAAGTTCAATGTCTTAGTCACTTCCTATGACTACATCTTGGCCGATGCGGATCATCTCAAGAACATCAAATGGCAAGTTCTCGCTGTTGATGAAGCCCACCGTCTCAAGAACCGAGAGTCACAGCTCTACATCAAGCTCAACAACTTCGGCGTTCCTTGCAAGGTCCTCATTACCGGCACACCCATTCAGAACAATCTAGCCGAACTCTCAGCCCTCCTCGACTTCCTTAACCCCGGAAAAGTCGTCATTGACGAGGAGCTTGAAGCGTTGTCTACCGCAGATAACAAAGGTCCGACTGATGAAGAACAGGATGAGGCCAGGCGTATCAGGACTCAAGAGAAGCTCCGCGAGTTGCATCAGTCAATCGCTCCTTTCATTTTGCGTCGCACCAAGGAGACAGTCGAGTCGGACCTTCCCCCCAAAACCGAAAAGATCATCCGAGTTGAGTTGTCTGACGTGCAACTTGACTACTACAAGAACATTCTCACGCGCAACTATGCTGCCCTCAGCGACGCGAGCAACGGCCACAAGCAATCGTTGCTCAACATCATGATGGAGCTGAAGAAAGTCAGTAACCACCCGTACATGTTCCAGGGTGCCGAGGAGCGTGTCCTCAACGGCAGCACACGCCGTGAAGACCAGATCAAGGGTCTCATTACAAGTAGCGGCAAGATGATGCTTCTTGATCAGCTGCTGGCGAAACTTAGGAAGGACGGACATCGTGTTCTGATCTTCAGTCAGATGGTCAAGATGCTAGACATTTTGGGTGACTATCTCCGTGTTCGCGGATATCAATTCCAGCGACTCGACGGTACCATTCCTGCCGGCCCAAGACGTATGGCCATCAATCACTTTAACGCCGAGGGCAGCGATGATTTCTGCTTCCTTTTATCTACCCGTGCCGGTGGCCTTGGAATCAATCTTATGACGGCCGATACTGTCATCATCTATGATTCGGACTGGAATCCCCAGGCCGATCTACAGGCAATGGCTCGAGCTCACCGTATCGGCCAGAAAAGACCTGTCAATGTCTACCGCCTCGTGGCCAAGCAGACTATTGAAGAGGAAGTTGTAAAGCGTGCCCGCAACAAGCTCTTCTTGGAGTATCTTACCATTCAGGCCGGTGTGACAGATGAAGGCAAGGCTCTCAAAGAGCAGTTCAAGGAGCGCGGCCTCAAGATGGACGAGGCCAAGACTGCTGAGGATATCTCGATGATCCTCAAGATGCGTTCCCAGAACCTGTTCGAGCAATCCAGCAACCAGCAGAAGCTGGAGCAGCTCGATATCGATGCTATCCTCGAGAATGCCGAAGTGACCAAAACTGATGTCGATGACAAAATCAACCTGAGCAGTGGTGGTATCGACTGGGATAACTGGATGCAGGTCACCGATGTCAAAGTTGACGATCTCGCTCTTGACTGGGATCAGATCATTCCAGCCGAGCAGCTTGCTGCGATCAAGGCTGAGGAAAATAGAAAGAAAGAAGAGGAGTACTTGGCAAGAACAATAGAGGAGAATGCTCCTAGAAAAGCTGCGTTGAAAGGCTCCAAAAATAGCGCAGAAAACGATCGGGCTGAGCGTCTGGCAAAGAAGCGACAACGCGAGAGGGAAGAGCAGGAAGAGCTCGAAGAGCAGCGTGCATTGCTTTCAGATCCCAAACGCCCCCTCAATGAGAAGGAAACCCGAAACCTTATCAGGGCCTTCTTCAGGTACGGTTCCTTGGACGACCGCGAAGAAGAGGTTGTCCAGGATGCTCGCCTCAGTGATAGAGATCGGGACTTTCTGAAGTCTATTATCGAGGACCTTGTCGTTATCAGTCGCCGCGCTGTAGATGCGAACAACGAGAGACTTCGCGAAGAAGAAGCCAGGGCTGGCAAGCCACTGGCGAAGAAGGATAAGAAGGCTGTACTTGTCGATTTTGGCGAGGTGCGGAAAGTCAACGCAGAGACTGTCGTGGAGCGACCCCCTCAGCTCAAACTTCTGCGCCGCGTCCTCCGGGAGCACGCAGACATTCTCAGTTTCAGGCTTCCCGAAGCATCCAAGGCTGCCGCATATACTTGCGACTGGGGTGCACGTGAGGATGCCATGCTGCTTATTGGAATCGACAGGTACGGATTTGGTGCGTGGACGCAAATCAGGGACGATCCTGAGTTGCAGATGCACGACAAGTTCTTCCTGGAGGAGCATCGTGTCGACAAACGGGAAGAACGAAAGAAGACGGAGGCTGTAGGGATTCAATCCCCTGGTGCTGTTCATTTGGTCCGAAGGTCCGAGTATCTCCTGTCTGTTCTGTTGGCCAAGCACTCTAATGATGCTGCCGCGAAGAAGGCAGTGGAGAACCACCATCGGAGCAAGAAGCTTCTCACGAACAACGGCCATCGACGCGGTGAAGCTAGCTCTATCTCCGGGTCCCCTGCACCATTGGGCGTTAAAAAGTCTATTCCTCACCGGGACCACCACCATCGGACTCTCAGCAACGCGAATGACCGGGGGACCCCCAGGCCAGACCACAAACGGAAGTACACAGATGATTACGAAGAGCGCAGCTCGAAGCATCGTCGGGTGGAAGACGAACGTCGTGGTACAGATAGCAAACTCGACAAGAAGAAGGACAAGGCACCCAAGGTCGATCCCGAAACATTGGAGAAATGGAAGCGGGACAGGCAGAAAGCGGTGGAGCGCTTCCATGAACTTGCCAAGTTGAATAATGATGAGATCGATAGCTCGGACAACTTCCAACTTGTTTGGTCTCTACTTCGGCCCCTCAAAGCGAACATGGAACGCATCATGTACTCTAAGGAACGTTTTCCTGCGGCCAAAGAACGCGCCAAAATTCTGGGAGAGGAGATTCGGGCATTTGGTAATTTCCTTAAGCAGCTGGAGGAGAAGAACCCGCTGGATGGTTTGGAGCCACAGTTCTGGTAAGTCTAGAAACTCCCTCAGATTGCGCTTTCACACTGGCTAACGATAGATGCAGGGAATTCCTTTCTTCGATCTGGCCCATCGGTGAGGTCAAGGTGTCGGGCCGAAGACTCCAGCGCATGTTCGGCGACCTTTGCAAAAAGGATAGCGAGAACAAGGAGGATAGATCTCAGAATCTGAAGAAGCCGAGCCGCCAGGATCTGGAAGATGGAGAGATTGCCAGCGATCGCGACGATCGAAGATCTCGTGACCCTTACCGCGACGACCGGCGCGAGGACCGGCGCGAAGAGCGACGAGAGGAGCCTAAGCGGCGCCCGAACTATTACGAGAATGGCGATCGACTCAACTTTTATCGCCATCGTAGGGACATCGATAGGGGAGCACCGATTCGTCACTCATGGCAGAGCAGCCGCAGTCCCTCTCAGCAGCAACGGCCTTACTAGGGGAACCACCCTCTTCTCCCATCTATAATTGTTACTCAGCTCTTGCATTGTCTGGCGTACGGGTTTAGATATCTCGACTGGGGTTGTTGTTCTGATTTTCTGCTCCTCTATCCTCATCTGGGAGTTGACAAGTACACGGGCGGGCGTGGTGTTACATTGGAACGAGCGATACCTGTAATGAGGAATTATTTATGTTACAGAAAGGGCGCGCGCTTTTATGAAGGGTTCAGCATTATCCTATCGCTGATGATGGTTATTTTCGTTGTTGTGTATGGTTTTGCGGAAACCGCGTGCGCCGACGTAAAAGAAAGGCACGCAAGCGTTCTACTCGTCAGGCACTCATCAACATGCCTCAAACAGTCTTGGTTTTCTTCTTTTTTTTCTTCTTTTTTTTTTTTTTTTTTTTTTTTTTTTTTTTTTTTTTTTCCCAGTTATCTCAGCAACATAAAATTGAGGGGAACGGATGGATGGTTGGTTCTGAAAGCGTACAAAGAAGGGAAATAACAAAACTTGATCGAACTCCTCCCGCAAAAATTTGAGGATCACTTATTTGGGACAGGGGATAATGATGGGGAAAGAGAAGGGACCGTGCGTCGTCATTGTGCTTTTTCCCCCAACTTATCTTCAGTCGCCGAACACGCCCTAAACTTAGAAAGAGAGAGAGAGAAGAGACATTAAAATGATATCCATAATAGCATCGCCCGATCTGTACTTTTCTCTTCTGTTTGTTTGTGTCTTGGGGCGTTCAACTTCATCATAGTAGGTGAAGATACAATATGAGTGTGTGTTGTTGTTCTCTATCTGTCTATCCTCACCTGCGTATCATAAGATGGAGGGGGTATGTTTTAGGGTCGGAGAAAGGGATGGTGACAGAGAGTTATTAGTGACAATCAATGAGTTGTTTGGCATTCTCGGTATTGATGGTTGCACTAGTATGAGGCCACGACATACACGGGCTCAAGACGGGTTGCCGGCGATGCGTTTACGATCACGGTGGTCATAGACAGAGCACGGTTTAGAGGCAGATAGATACCACGGCATATAAGTAACGTCCAGGTACCTCTATGTTCCATGTTCTTTATTATTCTTGGCTTGGTAATCTTCACCACGCTTATGCGTTGTTTGTTTAATTGACTTCTCTAGGATAATTTCACGTTCACCCATCCCAATTCACCCCTGACCTTGTAAACAACCAACTCAACGCACCATCACAGGAGCTAAGCGAATTTAGCTCCAAAACCAAAAAAAGAAGAAAAAAAGAGAAAGAAAAAAGGGCCAAACATGCGAACTTGAACGACACGAAGGTATGATACATAAAGGAAAAAGAAAAACATACAGCACCTGGGATTCGCTGGTCGTCACCGACCCAACTACTAGTCAAGCGATTGGTGGCTTATCTATGGGAGAGCGGACGGGATCCCGAGTTTTCCACCATCTATGGCCGTATGTACTAACTGTTACCCAGTAACACTAAGATCTTATATAGCACAAAATATGATGGTAAGCCGGCAGGGATCGTACTGTGCAATAATGTGCAGTGGTAGCTGCTGGATGGACGAACGGTAACGAGGCTCGAAAGGAAAACAGTTCTTTCTTTATTTGGCTGTGTGTGTGACTTGGCATGCCCTGAACACTCCGTCGTCCCTATCGATACTATATTGTCTTGCTTACTCCATGTTCACGGTCTGTAATAAGTTGACATTACTAGTCTGCCGTAATTTAGCTAATGATAGGTATTTACGACCAAGGCAGTTGGATGCCAGCTCACAGAGACACAATTGATGCACGATTATATAATGAACGAAACCAAGTCGTAAAAATTCTCCTTTGTGTGTATTTCTACCATTGTACGACGTCGAAGACACGCCTACAATGATGTGTTGTGACCTTGCTTGGTATTCTCTGTCCGTCCTCTTAACGTACACCTCCTAGAAGAAAGGAAGAAAACGAAGAGAAACTGAACCCATTCCATAATCAACCATCCACCCAACCAAACCGACCATCCGCTATCCGTCACCCTGTCCATCGCTATTGTACATCGACGGGGAGAGACCGGATACTTGGAGACGTAAAGATCGCCCCTATGCCTTTTGCCTGACCTTGCCAAACCATGTGCCCCAAACCGCTCTCATGTTTTTTATGGTCAAGACTGCCGAACCCCCTCCACATATTTTGCCCTCTATAACCCCAAATCAATCATGTTTCACCCCACTATCGTTTTGGTCCAAGCCTTAGTCGATCAGATGCCCTATACCCCGAGGCTTTGACTTGGGCGAGATAGTCAGCGTAATGTCCCGCCCCGAGCCCGGTGCTCCCGACTGACTTGAGCCGACACTAGGTGTCCTAGACCTGCTTCTCGTGGTCATGGTTGGGCGAGGAACTTTTACCGCCGTTGGCCGCAGGGACGGAAGCACTGTGGGCACGTCCTTGTCGAAATCTCGAGGCGGCGAGGACAGATCCGAAGACGTGTCCGGGTCAAAGGGAATCTGTTTCGCGTTTTCCTTCCCTGGAGCAGCCACAGCTTTTGTGGCCTTGAAGGTACGGTTGATGGCGTTCTGGGGTTTAACAACCTCCTTCTTCTTCGTCTGCCGCGGCTTGCGCTGAGGAGCAGAGCCAGGCAAGGGTTTGCGCCCAGTGGTAATCGCGGCGCTGACAAGGGTCGTCTCTTTGGAGGACGTGGTTTTGCCGAAGTTAAGAATGCTCTGCTTCGCTGTGGTCTTGGTCGTCGATTTCCGCGCAGGAAGAGTGGCACGGGGCTTGGGGCTCGCGCTTGGTGTCGGAATCCCGCCTTGTTTCTGTACCAACACCTTCGCAAGCGGCTTTTCGTCCTCGTCGTCTGACAAAGGTGACTTGCGTTTGCGTTGAAGGAGTACATCAACCCTGCTCTTGCTGAGCGTGGCCTCTAGCCTCTTTTCCTTGTTCTCATCCACCAGCCATGTTGTAGGATCCCCTATATCCTGCTGATCCCATCTCGGTAGATTTACCAGCTCAGCTACATCGTCGCATTTCCCCCTGATGACGTAGTCCCAGCAATCTTTGAATTCCGCTCCTTGAGGCTCTGGGTCAATGTTGATCCAGGCTGTGATACCATCCCGACGGCTCCTGGTCAGCTGGCACATCTCCTTGACGAGCCTTCGAACGCCAGGAATCTTCAGAGTTGTGCCGACAACGATGACTGCGTCCGGAACCCTCTTCAAATCCGCCTTTGAAACGTTTCCGATGGCCTCCTCGTCAGGGTTGTACTCGTTGTACAACACAATTCTAGGCCGTAGCCGGCCAATGCCGTGACTCCGTTTGCCAGCAAATGTTGTGCGTACCTCATCCTGTTCCTTGCACTTTGCGCACAGAGGAGCTTCAGAGCCTTCGAAAAGCTCGGCATTGAAGGGCTCCAGGTGACTGCACTTTGTGCATACCATCTTCTCCAACCCACCGTGCAGCTGGACGGTAACTGGCCACGGACCCTTCGCGTTCAAAGGGACGTTGGTGGCTAATGGTGGCATCTGGGTATCTAGCGTATCTATATTTTGGGTGTACAGTCGTAGTAGTCGTCCCTCCTCAGCCATGGAGGCTAGCATGTGATGAAATGGTGTAGGCTTCGCCTGTGACGTCAATTGCGCCAGTTCGCGCACCATGGTGTGGAAGGACTCAGTAGAGTCATCGTGCTTGTACACAGATGCGTCGAAAAGGTGTTTTCCGGAAGCCTTCAGCTTGTGCTGACCTCGTAGCGTCGCGAAGAGACCGGTTGACGAGCGGAAATCGGGGACTAAAAAGCGCGTCAGCAAGGTCTGAGAAGAAAATGGCGCGTCATGGACTATCCTAGATGCGGAGATGATGAAGGGAAAGTGAAGGGGGAGAAAAAAAAGGGGGGGAGGGGTGTGTGGGAATGACATACTCCCAGCTGAGACGGATATGCCAGCACCAGCAATGACGACAATCTTCTTCTTTCTCCGCAGAGCCGTCAATAACCTGTCGAGGTTTTCATCGGCCTCTTCCACACGATTTTCAAGATCGATCCGGTCGGTGGTACGGGGCCTTGGCGGTGCGGCGGTGCGGCGACGCTTCGTCGGAGGAGGTCCATCTGTGCGGACCTGGATCTCCTGGGCCGAATCTGAATCGGGCCCCTTCATGGGGGAAGCGCTGCCAGAGGGTATCGAGCTGGAACTAGGGGAGGGATAGCGGTTCGAGGCATCGAGCAGCAAAGGCGTAGGAGGCAGAGAAGGCGACTGAGAGAGAACTGAGAGAGGAGAGGAGGGAAGAGAGCCTGACGAGGAGGGAAGAGAGCCTGACGAGGAGGAGTCGGACGGTTTCGGTCGCAAGCAGTCCATAGCTGCTGCCTTTGAAGGCGCGTGTCCCACTGCAGGTTCAATTGCTGCTACGTCTTCTCCAGCTGCCCTGCAGTATCTGAGCGTGACTAGTGTTGGGTGGACGAGCGGGTGGTGACGGGAAAAAAAGCGTTTGTGGTTTGTGGGTCAAAGGTTTGGTTTTCGCGATGCTATGTCATGGCTGAATCGGGAGAGGCTCTTCTTCAAGTCGATTCAGGTTGTTGTCGCGGTCGTCTTAATGGGATGGACAAAGGAGAGGCAGCTGAGTTGGCTTGGTAAGTCGATGTCTTGACTTGAAAAGATGGACGAAATTGGAGAGCTCGAGTTGAGGTCCTGCAACTTGGTAAAAGGATCGATCTTATGGTGCTGAACCGTGCCCCGGACGGTTGCTAACAATGTTAAGAATAAAATAAGTTGCACTTGTGCCGGCTGCAGTGGCAGACAGACACCTTGCTTGAACAATTGAAAATCGGAGCAAGACCTGAGTTCAATGGTGAGGCGCGAAGGTCGCGGTTTGCGTAGTGTACAAGTACGTATCCACCTGCACACTAAAAGTCCTTGGCTGCTGTTGGTGGAGGAATGAATTGGCAGCGTTCTATGCAGACGGTAGGTCATCTGAGCGACGGGAAGAGTAGACGATTACAGATTGCGGGCAGGCTTGCATGTGCGCAAGGAGATTCTAGCGGGCAACACGATTGGACCAGTCGGATTCTGGGACATGGAGGTTATTAACCAACAGAGCTGGAATCCAGCCTTGTGCATTCTGAGAATGTGCAAGAGACAAAGAAGACATCAACAGCTGTTGGTTGGGTAACGACGACTCTCACATGAGTACCATTGAAATTGAAAGAATGCTTCACCTCTTTTGTCAGGGAGGTACATGGTACATCTCCACAGAGAGCAGAGAAAACCTGGTTTATTGTCGATGATCATGGCAGACCCTCGAGGCATGGCGCTATTGAGGAGCAGGTACATGATAAGTAAAAGATCCGGACATGAAAGACTCAGGTCCGTCGGTACAGAAAGTATACTACTGAGAACATTGGGTTTGGACTTCCATTGCGTGTTCACACTGAGCTCAAGAAGGATAGCAGAATGGAAAGTATTCAACCCTCGAGACCGCAATTCAGGCAAAAAGTAGCGCCCCGAGAAAACAAGGCGGCTCCACACAACAAAGGAACGAAGAAGGCCGGGGCTTGTCACCGCGCGGTTGCCGGGAAACACAATCCACGGGGCGGACCCACCTGCAGCTCCCGTCTTAGTGCCGCCCTCCCGCCCCCCCGGACCACAGATCAGGGACCGCGCTACCTTAACACTCAGCTCCAGGAGACAAGCCAAGACCCAGAGCGCAAGCCATGTGTGGCTGGAGAGGGCTTGTGCTATCTTCGGTAACGAACGGCAGGCCTTACGAGGCGTTACACCACTCCGCACGTACCATACTGTGTAAGTACGTACAACTTCAGTTCGCTGTTGCACACAACTGAAAAACGACGGAGTTGCAGTGCAGTGCAGTGGGTGGAGACACAGTGCTTACTGCACCCAATGTGACTGTGAGTATCGTACCGTCGCGAGCTCAGCTGTCGCGATCACCGAAACGGGGACTGGAGCTTCGTTCGGCACTCAATGACACTGTATTGCTTCTTCTGTTAACATCCAAGCTGGGCTTCTATTCCTTTGTTTCTCTCAACGGCCTCAGTTGCGCGGCCAATCTCGACCCATTTTGAATAACTCAGTTTCACCCCATCTTGCTCAAAAAACCCGATTGTTTGAATAACTGGAAGATTAAAAACATCGTTTACTCACTACACATATACAACATCCATTCAGGTGGTCAGCCGTTGTCTCAGTTCCTGCACACTGCACATACAAACGCCATCCAACTCAAGTTCTCGACCAGCATCAAGTCTCCTTTCATCGGCAATCTCGAGTTTCTAAGGCTTCCGACCTGGTCAGGCCCATTGTGTCGGCACGACTAGACTACAATATATAAACGGCAATTGGAGTAATTTTGGAGGATAATTTCTACACGGCGCTTAGCATCCTCATCACTGCCTCCCAGTCTTGGAGACTTCCCAACTCGAACGACTTGGCATCACCGGATTCGAGCTCTTAGTACACAAAAGACGTCTTTCACTGTCGGGCATCG